ATACTCCGGCCCTGTTCATGAATTATTAATGCTGGGTTCACGTAAATGGAGGGTTAGAATACTATAAAAAAAATGAGCAAATGGGCTTACGGGTGGCATTGGAAGATGTTTGAGGGGTGTAAAGAATGCTGGATAAAGAATCAAATAGTAGAAAATGCGAGCAACTGAGAAAAACATGAATAAGGTGATAAATGTCAATACGAACGACTGGCGTATCGTATAAGCTGGAAAATATTTTTCGCCAATGGCTGTTAGGCACAAGGAAAGGCCGCTCCAAAACACAGATCCAAGAGCCATGATTGCCATAGTTTATGAATATTCAGGCAATGGGAAAGAGTCAGAAATGGATTTTAAAACCGTGTTTACTTCAAGAGAGAAGTTGATCTAGCCACGGAGGCGTGTGTTTCCAATCACGGGCAGGGAGAAGAGATTGGTGAGTAACTAGGCCCCCATCTGTTCACCACAGGAAATGAAATGTCGAAAAGGTAATTATGGCAAGCTCACAGATGTCTTTCGCGGTGTGCTTTGACGATACCAATTAATATATTTATCCACTCAACCTGGGATTTCAAAAAGCGCCTGTTAGGGTAACCATTATCGCAGAAGCTTTGTGATTTGTTGAATTTGACCGAATTGTTAGAGCCCTTCTCTCCACATATCGCTGCCTCGTAGATGGGATCGGGGATCGAATGAGGTTGAAAACGTGTCAGATCAAGGATATAGTTTTAATTATCTAATCATGAGGGGTGCGATTCGGAACGTAGTATCCAAATCGTTGAGGGGGAGAATACACGGGCAAGGTAAAAAGCGTCGTTCCTAACCAGGAATTTTAAACCACAAGAAGCCCTTACCAACATTCAACTTTCACTTCAGGTCGAAGCGACATTTTTCGGGGAAGGGAGGGTTTGGAGTGGCGAAATATCAGCAGCCCCGCAGTTTGTCGGCGTTCGATCCGGTAGCTCTGATGCCCAGCCTCAGCCCAGGTTTCCAGACGTCGCAGAGATGATGGCATGCAGACACCAATGCTGGTAAGGACAGGAAGACAAGGCAGCCAGCTATTAAACTTTCACGCTTTTTCTAAATTTGCTGATCTGTCAAGTGGCATTCGCAGGGGAAGAAAGTAAGTGGCACTAAGAACTGTCCGATTTTAACACCGAAAGCAGCAGGCCATGAAGAAATTAGACAGAGAAAGGTAGACAATGTTAGGGACATAAAGAAAAACCAATCATTTAATGCAGGCCGTAACCTATATGCATTTCCGAAACCGAGACAGGAGGAAGGTGATGAGATTTGTGACTGCGAAAGACCGGAAGAAAACCACACAACACCGTCACCATGCAAATACAACTAACTGCATTTCAAATTGAAACAAAAAGCGTAATTCAGAATGAAATAAAAAGTAGATAAGAGTAGAGATTAACAATAATGATCGCCAAGTTTTCTTGGTTTAATTTAACGACTTAACCATCATCCATTCGTTCGTTCCAACCCCTAAGTTCAATCCATTCTGCGCCCACCACAGTCGTACGCGCTCTTCCACACCTGAAACCGCGTCTTCCAACGCCTCTTCGATATCGCACGTTTTGAACTCTACAGGCAGACCACTCCGTTTCCACCACTCAAGCACATCGACATGGCCATTTTTCGTTGCGCCAACGAGAACTTGATTATCAAAAATTAGCTTCTCGCGCTTCTGTCGGTACCAGAAGTCCAGGACTGGAACATGGCCATGACTGCTGGCAATCCGAGTCACAGCTTCTGCATGGCCAAACGGAATATCGGATTTTGTCCACCAGGCAAGCGAATCAGTGCGCCCGGTCTGTGCTGCAAGAAGGACAGATTTGCCGACTTTCAGAGGGACAGGGTCATGAGGCGGTGCCGTTTTTGAGGTGTTTTTCCACCAGTCGAGGACGGCGATGCGGCCCTCCGCGGAGGCTGACTCTAGGGAGCGTTCTGTGTAGCGGAAAGGAAGACCGGATTTGCGCCACCATTCTAGCGTATGCACAAATCCGGCGCGAGAGGCTGCATCGATCGCCTCAGGGAGATAGTCTTTTATAGGGAGTGTCGGAAGAGTGGAGCAATTCTGCCACCATGTAAGGATGGCTGTGCTGCCGAATTTGGCTGACACCGATAAGGGAAGATTTTTGAGCTGGGGTGTCGCTAAATACAGATCCATTCGCGATTTGCGGAGATAGTCCAGAATATCTGTTCGGGAGAACTTAAAGATCAGGTCTGTGACAAGAATGGATAATGGATTGCAGGCTGGAATTTTGGAGAGATGTTGTTCAATCTCTTTCATTGACCCGCGAAGAACAGCGTACTCAACTGTGGAGGGTTTCATCGACGTAGGGATATAACGTTTCCATTTCCGGGGCATCGGAATCTTAGTATATATGCCGACCGAGGTTGCTGTTTCCCAGTCATCAAGGATCTCAAATATCATACTCAATATTTCGGGGGGAAGGATGGTCTTCTCTTTGGGAAGGCCATTGGTGGAAATCTTAGTATCTTTGCTATGAGAGAGCTCCCTGTTCCGTTGTTGGGCGTTTTTGTCACGGTCATTTGATAAGTCCCTGTCTATTGGCCCATCCCGGCTGAAATTATACTTGGCCAAATTTTCATCTTCCTGTATGCTGATAGGAATTGACGAATAACCGAGGCATTTCCCAACTTCGTTGCCAAACATAGCCCAGCTATCCCAGGGAATTTCTACCAACCCAGTGGGAGGCTTATATCCGGTAAGAATCGGGGGCAGAACCCTTACCCACGGCCAAGACGATGCTAAGTCGTTGAGCTGCCGCTTGGTCAGTGGGAATTGCCATTCTGACAAGGTCATTCCAGGAACCAGCAAGACCGTTTTCGTAATATCCCATCCTCGTAAAACTGTCAATGTAAGACTTGTGGTGAGGCCTGCTAGCATTGCCCCCAATGTTCCGGCAGCCATAGGGCTGAGAATCAGCACATCCGCCCAGCTGATTAACTCCGCACCAGTAACACTTATCCAAGACCGTGAATTCGATTTGGAACCGGGTTGAGCGGGAACAGGTGTGTCAGCATAACAAGCAGCCTCCCTTGTTATTTGTGCAAGATCCAAAACATCATCGGATATCACCCGCAGTTCGATATCTGGTATTTTCATAAGAAAAAAAATCGCAACATTTGCAAAGGATGCAGTGGTCGAAATAAGCACTCGTTTTCGTAGTTTGTTATTATAAGCGAATGGGAATGACGGCGGCCAACAGCTTCTATCCAGTTCTACTTCGAGTCTTCCCATAACATGATCGTCTTTGACTCCATTGGTATGGGAATCGCCCCCAGTTTCTGTATCCTCATCTCTATTCTCAAGGGCCACCACACCTGGCATCCTTACCAAACTATTTGTTAGTTTCAGCACCTTGAAATCTAAGGCTAAAAACACATGCAGACGTTTGAAAATTGCGGCCGTAAGAGTTCGCAAATCCGCTGCTAAATATCAAGCTTGCTGTGGCTTCTGCCTTATTCACGCGAAGGACCCTATCTCTTCCCAACTCTTATTCATGTACCTGAATAGCCAGTTTTAATTTCCGGAGTAATGGGAAGTTGGATCAATAAATTCATAATTTTGAGGTTTGTACGTAGCACAGGTTGCCCGTCAGTCGTCCGGCAAATCGCGACAGTATATAACCTCTCGTGTGCTCCACGCTCTTCCCCTTGTTGCGATATGGGAAGCTCTTTTGATCACGGAAGGAATTCCCTGGTATTTCTCAAACCCCTTCTACCCCTATCGACGAACTTGGGCTTGTATTTCAAACGCAACGTATTCGATTGTTCGATTCGTAGGGGCGTGATGCTTGGATCGTTATACTGCAAATCACCAACAAACACCAGTGAGTAGGTGGAGAGACCGAAGTTACGTGCGCATCAAATAGGGCCTAACAGTCTTTGCTTGCGTTGGCTGCCTCTGGATGGGTGGATTGGTGTGATCTAGGTTCAATTTGTCATCGGAAGTCACATCCGTCGAAAGTGGGGGATTTGGTAGACACATACGAGTTTTTTCTTTAAAGACTTATATCTCACTCTCAGTCACTGACAGGCTGTCTGCTCTGATAACGGCTTGAATCAGGACGGTTTATCCGTAGATTGTAGGATGATGCCAGTCCAAAAGAGTTTGTGTATCACACAGGGTCTATAGAAACAATTTGGAGGTTTAATGGTGATGTTTAATGAATGTCTCTTCAGAAACTCAGAAGACAACGCAGATTCGTTTTCAGCAATGATTCTATCTGGAATATGAAAGAAAGTTGGAGGAAAACAAGAGACTTGACAATACGGAGTGTTCCAAAAGCATTATGGTTCGAGTGTCAGTCAAGTCCACCAAATTGGCGACTTGCCAAAAATAAGCGTTGGGCTTATTGCCACCGCCATCTTCTCACAGAGCGCAGATATTTATAAGCCCTGGGGAATTGGGATTTTGCTTGGATCTTGTATTTTTGTCACATCAATGATATCAACTATGTTCTGCAATTACTACGATACGATATTCATTTCTATCTAAATGAAAAATGTAGGAGATGTGTTCCTATGTGGATAAACTCGAGAGGTGAGTGGAAGGTAAATATTGGCTGACGCTCGGCAAACCGTGCACTAGACGTCATACAATTGCCGGGATTCGGGATCGTAAAGGGTCCACCGTCTAGGAAATGTTGTCTGCGTATCCTTCTTGGGCTTGCGCATTTTCGCCATTTGTATCTGTATTGAGAATTTGGTGAGTAATGTAAATCTTAGCCATATATCTGCAAAAGTACATGCAAGAATTGTGTGAATCTTCCCGTGCGAGTGGGGATAGAACAGTTCTATGGAGCCCGATGAAACCCGAGGCGAAAGCAACATGAAGGAGGAATGTACTGAACCTAACCTAATTTATCTTTTGAACGCCTTATCGTCTATATGGAGAATTAGTATAAAAGGTATTGAAGCCCATACAAAAAAAGAAGGGTATATGATTGCAGGCTTCTAGTATTTCATTTCCTCGCAAGGTTCATGGGGAGTTTATGCTCCTTCATGAAAAGACTTGACACCAAACCCAGTATTTCCAGACTCAACTTGGAAACAAACAAAGCCCCTAAAGTATCCATGTAAGAAATCTAATACCCCAGGACGCCCAGTCCGCTGGTACCTTATTGGTGTAATCGAGGCTATTACGGATCTTCTGGATTATCTCAATCGCATCCTCCCTGTCTCCAAACCGAGACCATAACCCGCTTTTGAGCAGATTCTGGAAAACAGATGAAGCAGCTGTGATACCTATCGAGCTCCCCGAGCTCCGGAATGCGATCGAAGCTGATGCTACAACGGCTTGGTGTTTATGGTCGACCGCAGAAATCAATGCCACAAGTGTCACGGTGAGCATGCCGCTATAGCCCAGACCAAAAATGAAGAAATAAAGAAACTGATGCCAAGAAGGGGTCGTGAGGGTGTACGTGCTAATTAGTGAGGAAGCCAGAACAAGCAAGAAAGTGGACGCATAAATGAAGTAAAGATAACGGCCGGTCACGCGCATAAGGATACCCAAGCCCAAGGATCCAGCAGCAGCCCCTACTGCCTGAGGGATTAATCGCAGTCCTGTCATAGTCACCGAGTACCCTTGACCTGGAAGTAAAGCGGGGCGTAGAAGAGCACGGCAAGACAGCCATGGTGGTAAACCAGTAAGTTAGACAGGCTGAAAGAACAGTGCGATCCAGGAGGAAACGGACCGATGTAACGGACTCTGTCGCGATATATTTTTTTCTTTTTCCAACGTAGATAAAAACAACCAGAAACACTCTAATGAACGGCAACGTTGTCCAGATGAGCTGATGGTTCAAGGGGACTTGATTGTCTCCGCAACTCAAGCCCACCAGTAGTAGAACGAGACTCACCACCAGTGTTCCCACACCCAGAAAGTCAATGCGTTTCAGTCGTGATTTATCTGTGACTTTCACGGGGATGTTGACTCTCCAGGTCACCAAACCCGTAGAGATTATGATGAATGGTACCTGGATAAGAAAGGCGCCACGCCAACCTCAGCTGACTTTCATCCAGCCACGAAATACACCACCTAAGGAGCTTCCTAGACCGTAACAGATGTTTCCAATACCTTATCACACTCCCCGTTTTCGCAGTGGCACGAGGTGGGTTGTGATAAATGTGGAAATGACAGTGACTCCACCCGCCACCCATTCCAGCCACAGTGCGGCCGAATATTATCACCCATTCATCCTTCGCAAGGCGGAAGATAAGGTTCCCAGCACCGAAGAGAGTATTTGATATCACCAACCCGGTGCGTTGGGAGAAGTTAATTTGCCGCTGAGCGGTTGACATGCGGCGTTCGACACAAGGTAGGCTGTTGCGAGCCAGGAGAGAAGGGAGAGTGAGTTAAACGAAGAAGAGATGGGAGCCGCGACGGTTCCGACGATTGTTCCACCTTAAATCCGTAATGTTTGTCAATAAAATACAAATCACACAGGGCAGTGCCGTATCCCATTTTATTGGTGTGATGCACTCTGGATAAGGACTGGTGGAATGACCCACCTAATGCCGCAAAGAAGACCCCAACACACATGCTGTCCAAAATCGCTAGCAGTCCCTTTGTTGTTAGCTCATCTGCCAGTGGAAATTCGGAGTCATCGGGCGAGCTGGGGTCAGTAGCACTGGCAGCTCCGGCATTGTTATTGTTTTGGCACCATTCTCGATTGTCGCTTCGTTTGCTAGCAAAGGAGTTCTCTCCGACGGGGCGATGAAGCGTTTGCGGAATCCATAGCTCTTGGGCATCGAGGATTGGTTGCCGCGAGTCCCTTGGATATGATTCCGCAGCAATCCAAGTCACAGAGTCATAGGTGAAGATGAATGTCGACCTTTACAACGGGGGATGTCGTAGTTGACCTTTATAAGCGAAGTGGCAAAATGAATTCTCTGTTGGTTTAGACGACCATCACACGGCATACGGACTCTACCCAACGGGCTGTTTTGTCGTATTATTATATGATTGCTTTTCACAAGAGGGTGTCTCCCAAAAATTAATTGCGGTCTTCCAAAGGGAGCGACATTCATCATGCGAATTGCAGAGTCTGATCAGGAAACTGGCTCTATCCATCCAACTTTCTATTTCAGCCTGTAGTTATCTGGCGATATCTTTGCCGCCTGGAACATCAAATTTTCTGATATCGCCCGAACATTCCTTCTCGCTAATTCCCATTGTTATCCAAGTTTGCAAATGTAATCAAAGAAGCTTCAAGTCAGGAAGCCAGGCTTCTCCTGGTCATTGATGCCTATGAGATCAAGCAAATTATGAAACAGAGAGATTTGATGAGAAGAGCAGAAAAATTATATGAACTATTTTCAATTCCTTCCAAATAAAGTATTAAGAAGAATAATCGATGTATTTTAAAATATTTTTTTATTAAAGCTTTGGAAATAGAGGTCTCAATTTCATCGCCAGCTATTCGTTTTATTAAAATTTGAATGAATTACATTTTAAGAATCATGAAAATGAATGTAAATTATTCAATTCAAAAGAGAGTAAATATATCGATATATTTAAAAAAAGATTTAAATAAAGAAAATTTTTAGATTAAAATGAATACTCTGAGAACCTCAAAAAAATATTATCTTCTTAAGTTTATCAAATATATGCAAAGATTAAAGATCAATTATCAAATTTAAATGTGAAAAATATAAATCATAATAAGCTTTATTTTTGAAAAAAGAAACTAAATTTATTAATAGATATTTGTATTAGTGAACTTTTTAGAATCATATATTTTAAAACTACAAGAAATTGACAAGTAAAATTTTTTACTCATATACTCAGATAATTCAAAAAGAGAGCAAGGGTATTTAAAAGTTGATATAGCTTTGATACGTTTTAAAATAAATTATAAATATAAGTTATATTTCAGAAATTTAGAAATAAAATATGAAATTAATTCTAAATTATTTATAATTTAAAAAAAGACTTTTATAGTAACAGAATTAAAATAAATTATAAATATAAGTTATATTTCAAAAATTTAGAAATAAAATAAAAAATTAATTTTAAATTATTTATAATTTTAAAAAAAACTTTTATAGTAACAAGATTATTATTTAAAAATCTAATATTAATATACTAGAATATTTCAGATAGTCAAATATTATTAAAATAACTTTAAAAATATAAAACTTAAAATAATTAAATAAATTTTGAATTGATTCAAAAAATAATAAAAAAAATTAAAATAAAAAATAAATATATTTAATTTTATTTATTTTAAATATCTGCTTATACTCATATAGATATATTAAAAAATAAAAAAGCAGATTTAGTAATAAAAAGTAATACTAAAATTTAAAAAGTAACTCAAAAAATTATTTATTAATCTTATATTAAAAAAAAGATTAAAGAATTATATTTTAAAAAATAAATAAATTTTTATAAAAAAGAAAAAAAAATAGTTAATATAAAAATAAAATTAAAATTAAAGACTTTATTAATAAAATATAAAAAAAAATCTTTTCTTCTATAATATAATTAAAATTTAAATATAGTTATTATAAATTTTATATAAAAGAATCAAATATTTTATAAACTTAAGCAAAATAAGTTCTATAATTCAGTTGAAAATTCAGGTTATATTTTAATAAATTACTCATTAAATAATGATATTTAAAAAAAAATAAAAAAGAAATATTTTATTATTCAGTTAAATATATTTTTTTTAAATACTGAACTAGAGTAGAGAGAAAGTTTTTGATTAATTTTATAGAGAAGATAAAAATTATCTCTATAGAATAAATTTTAAATTTAAATAAAACTTAATATTTAAAGTATGTAATTAATAAATATCAAATTTAAATATTATATTACTCTTTATATATTTTATTTATTTTTTAATATTTTATTTAAAATATTTGTTTTTTTTATATTTATTGTGAAGACATTAATATGGATAAACTAAGTGTTTAAAAAAAAGTATGAAAAGCTTTATAACTAAGATTGTAAGAAGATATATATATAGACACTGCAAGTGCTATGAAGGAAAGAGAATAGTGATGAATGAAATATATATGTAAGATTGAATAGTAGTTAATCACTAAATCTCTCAAAGAAACTTTGAAGATTTAGAGTATTTATATACATGAATGAGTAGCAATAGATTTTATCTCTAATCTTTTATGAAATAAGGAATTAGCAATGCAGTGATTTAAATCTTCATGAAGTGCTGATTCTATATTTCAGAATGTACTTATGCTAAAGAACTGATTTTTGAGAAGTGCTGATCTGTGCTGATTCTGAATGCTGAATTTTGAGATAATGCTGATCCTCTGAGAGATGCTGATTTTAATAAGCTTTGATAAGTAGTATGAAGATAAGTGCTTTAGTAAGTGAGTGTGGTAAACAGTGTGAGGATCAGAAACTAGTATAGAGTCTTGACATCATATTTGTGATATTGATATTGATTGTTTTATTAATCTTTCATTAAAATTGAGACTGTACAAACTTGTTCTTTATTATAAATTTTTTTTAAATACTATATTATTTTAAGATAAAATTTTATAATTATATATTTTAAATTATATTTATTTATTAAATTTATAAGATAATTAAATTTTAGTTAATTTAAATAAATATTATAGTCTTTAACTATATATATTTTTAATGAATAATAATAATAATAATAATAATAATAATAAATGCTGTATCATTCTGAGATATAATTTTATAATTATACATTTTAAATTATGTTTATTGGTTAGGTTCAAAAAATAGTTGGATTCTAGTTTAATTAGATAGATATTATAATTTTTGACTGCATACACCTAAAATAGATAATAATAATAATTAAGAATATGAGACTGATAAATTGTGACATGTAAAATCTAAGTGTGAGAATCAGAGTTCTTATCCAGAAGAAGTTAAGTTGAAACTTGTAGATGATAATTCGATGGTGTGTTTGATTAATAATATAGTAGCGGTAGTGAGAATGAAGTGGTTGACATTGGAAACTAGATGGAAATATATTCAAGTTCTTTTCAATTGGTTCCTTTGACGTGTCCTAGACGTTGAATAACCTGTAACTGTTGAGGAATCTATTTGAGAACATTAGTAAGATTATGTCAGCAAAAGACGATACTTGACAGTCCGTCCGAGAAAACCTTCGAAGCTCCGGAGTAGAGGGGAGAAGAAAAATGGGGAATCAGGAATAATGAACAAGCTACTTGTTGAGCCAAAGTGGTGCCGGCCTACAGGGTTTCCACCACCCAGTACTTCTCGCCGATCTTTCGATCTTCATAGAATTACTCGGAGGATATAATGAAAAGTATACCCGAGACGAATGATATTCTGCGTGGGACAGAAACGGCACTTGAGGTCAATCTCCTAGGAATAACGCTTAAGCTATAAGCAGTGAACAGGTCCCACAAACCACGTGATGACAGCTCTGGAATGGATCGAAGCAAAGACGATTACACAGCATCCACTTCTTGTATTTGGTGAGTGCACCCGTGGACGAAAGAATGCGCAAAGTATAGTGCTAACATTGGCCGACAGAAAGAAAAAAAAAAAAAAAATGCACCTTCCTGCTGGGCTTGTGCACATGGGTTCCTCTTGCTGGACATGCGTGACGGGAGTCCCAGCAATTTCCTTAGGAGAGGAACATCACGAGAGGCCAAATTACCCAGGGAGGGGCTGGACTTCCCGACAAAGGATGTTTGGGGAGATGTTTGGGGAGGGGAGAGTTGCCGACAAATTAGCTCGAGGCCCGGTAAGGAAACGACAAAGGACTCTGCTTCCGAGTTTTCCCTTCCCTCGAAGTCCTTCGCTCTCATGAATTCGGCACTCCCAACACTTGGATATTTCCAGATGAATCGAGTGCATGCATATTTCATATGCATACTAGCCATTTAACGAGTTCTGCTATTGTTAGAGTTATCACCTTTGTTAGTCATTTTCCCCCTTCCTCTCTTTTATGCTTACTTGCCGCATCGAGGGTACCCCAGCCAATGTTAGGGACTATCATTCCAATGTCCTTTGAGGAGGGCGGGACGCTAGCTCTTACGGTTTTTCCACATTACCACTTGACGCTCTTGGTTGGATTTTCCAATGACCCGACGATGAACACCAACATGTGCTGTAACTCGCATAGCCACACCCACGAGCAAATCTGCGCCGTCATTCCAGAAGAGCCAGGGCGAAAACACGAAAATGCGATGCCAAATGTCGAGCGATATAGCCATTGGGCCAAGGCGATAATGAACCAGAACGGGTACGACGAGTGGCATGTCTTCGAATTGCCAAAACTAGTAATTGAGGAGATAATAGAAGCGAATTACCACTGGCTAGTGGAGGACAAGGCGGACGAGACACGGATAGCTTACATTGCAGCACATTTTCCGAAAACTATGTCGGATATGCCGATAGATTTTGTTTTTCGGCCTGGAAAGAAATGGTTCTGTCGTCTCGATCTTACAAACCCAACAGATGAGCTTGAACAAAAGTTACCAGTCACGTCGCTCGAAGAGCTTGTCTGGCGCCTTTGCACATCATCTTTGGCGCACGGGGCGCTCCTGATTGACGTAGAACGACAGCCAAAGCTTTTCCTAATCCCATTTGACGACATGATCCGCCAGTCCCTTGAATTTCGAGCGTTCTGTCCCCCAGGTTCTCCACAAGTGACTGCTGTTTCACAGAGACATTGGCTCACTCCATTCCCCAATGGCACAATTGAAAATATGATATGGTTGGCAAAGGTTGTCTTGCAGTGCGCAAATCGCCTTCGAAATGAGATTGTTGAATATTCCATGCAGATACCCGATAGAACCGTGTCGCATGATATCCACACTCGTGGGTTCGTATTCGACTTCCTTTTGACGCCTGGTATGGAAGGGCGACTGGTCGACATCAATGGGTTCGGGGCGATGGGAGGAACTGGTAGCTGCTTGTTTAATTGGATTCGAGATGCGCACGTTCTTTATGGATTGAAAACTTATGTTGAAATTCGAGTTTCGACAGCGATTATGCCAGCTGATTACAAAGTAAACCAAGAGGCCACCACTACCCAACCCAAGGACGCAGACAAGGACGCGGACATGGACGCAGACATGGACGCAGATAAGGACGCAGACAAGAACACAGACGCTGTTGCGGAGTCTAAGGAAGCTGGGAAGAACCGAGTTCTATGAGCCTTGTATTGATAGCAGTCGCACAGAGCAGTGTTTAGAAGTGTTGACTATTTGTGTGTTATGAGGTTAGTGGAGAGATTTGTATTTCATAACACAAGATCAACTGGCTGTTGGGCGCACCCGCGTGTCTTTGCTTCATTTAAATCCAAGGGTTGAGATTGCTCAGTTGGGTATCTCTCTCTCTCTCTCTCTCACAGAGAGAGAGAGAGAGAGAGAGTGTGTGTGTGTGTGGGATTATTCACAAGTTACAAAAAGGAATTATACAAAAGAAAAGAATTAAAAAAGGGGCAACCCCTGGTTAGGTTTTTTAACAAACATAGGACGGCTAAGCAGCAGTTGTTCTAAAGCTTGGTAGCTTGATTGAAGTCCATTAAGATTCAGGAACGTTCCAAGGAAACGAGCCGCGAATGAATGCCGTTCAGCGAAAACTGGCCCTTGCTTGAGAATGTACCTTTATTTTCCAATCAGAAGCGCATAAAACTTTAGGTCATGCAGATATTCTGTCAGGCTGTCAATATAGAGGTTGGACAGAGTTAGGAGCGACACATGAATTGTGGGGTTGCTGCAAAACAGTAACTGTGAGACAGCAAATTCAGAGAACCCTTGAATGATGGCAAAAAGCTCCTCACTGGGGGTGTGTCTAGAGTCTCCGTATCCCAGAGCCCATACGGAGCATGTAGCTACAAGTGTCGATTGAAAGTTGTAACTGCCAGCGGACATGAGATGTTTCAGTTGTGGTGGATGCGGGAAAATAATAGGGGCAACGATGGGGAGTTTCAAACACTAAAACTAGTTAGTCTGCAAAGAAGGCCATGTCACATGTCTCTCCCCTTTCTACACCCGCCATGACGGGCATTCTGATCCCGTGCAGGTAATTTGGCGCTTAAAAAAGCCGAACCTCCTCACTTCATCTGCACTGCGCCACGTCTGTTCTTTTCTGCTTCTCCCTCTGCAAGTCAAGTGTCAAGTTGTGTGTCCTCACCATCGTTTTTTTGAGGGTTGAACGGCTATATAGTCTAGAACGACCACTTCTGTGTTTTGCCTGCGCAACGTATAACAATTCTTAATCCTGGTGTTTTATCCTGCTTCCTCTTTCCGCTCCACACCCGGCGCCCACACCACTTTTAATCATGCCTGGTGTTCGTAAGTTATACCACCATTCTAGGCCGCTTGCCTCCTTTGCGGAGATCGACCCATACGCTTCGGACTTTACTTTCGACTGGTTTTCGTAGCCTGACTCTCGAATAGCTTCTGACGCGCTTGACCAACTGAAGAGAGGGTTCAAGAACTTCTTCAAGAATCGTAAGCGACGCGGAGTAGCATCCCAAAAAGCTTCAGCAGCAGAGGCTCTTGCGGTGACAGCCACTGCGACAACTGCTGCTACGAACGCAGCTCCTCCACCGGAGACGAAGCCCGCAGAGACTAAACCAGCAGAGGCCGCTCCTGCAGGCGAACCAGCCGCCTCAGGGCCGCCAGCTGCTCCCGCGGATATTACCTCCACCTCAGCTCCAGCTCCCGAGGCAGCATCAGTTGCGACTCCTGCAGATACTCCAGGGGCTGCCGCAATGCCTGCCCCCACGGATGCGTCTTCTGCAACCACTAATGCTGCTCCTACGACAGAAGCCACGCATGCTACAGCAGATGCCGGCACCTCAGCCGCTCCAGCCCCTGAACCGGCAAAAGAAGCAACCCCAGCAGCTGTGAATGCTATTCCAACACCGGCTCCCGCTACTGACGGTAATTGGACACCCCATACTTCCCGTTGGTAGCGCGATGTATCAGAAAACTAATCGTAGTCAAACCTCAATGTAGCTGCTTCTTCGGCCACACCAGCCGCCGCCCCTAATGTGCCTGATGCTGCTACCGCAGATACTCCTACCGGAGCCCTCAAGACTGCTGAACCTGCGCCCGCTGAAAATGCTGAATCCGCAAAGGCCGACGCTGAACCAACAGATGCCACCAAAACTGCTCCGGCTCCTGCAGCTCCCGCTTCGTAAACATATTTCAGCTCAGGATACCTTTTTGACATTGTGTTGATTTGCCACAGACACCATAGAACGTGATCTGCATGCCCTTACCCTGACATGACCGAGTCCCCTTATCTGGCCACAATTGACTGTAACATTTCGATATATCGCATCGTATTACCTGTACATTTCATTATTCCTACCAATTGGATCATTTGTACCTGTTATGTTTTCTATTCGTTTTACTTTGCTGATATGCGTTCTATGCTGGTGCTGCGTCTGCTTGTATGTTTGTTGATTTTCAATGAGTCTGGCTTGCATAATACCCGTTTTTCTGTTATTTCTCGCTCAGTGTTTCAAGTTCAACCACACCCTGAGTATTTCTAGATATCAGAGTTTCCGGGTTATCCATATATTGTTGCGATGGAATATGGCAAAGTCGTTACTGTGCACGATGGCCTTTGGTTCTAGTTTCTTGGATTTTATCGTTTACTTTTGATGGTGAGGTTTTCTTTCGGGTTTATTGACGTTTGCTTTTAATATATAACTCATACCCACAAACTCGAATCATTCGCGCTACTCAATATATCTTCGTTTCAAAAACTGAAATATCTAAAACAGATTCTAGAGCTCTAATCTAGCTGTTTGACGACCTTTCTTTTATCACGTTGAATATTCCATTTGTCTCACCAGCTGATATCCACAACTGAAATGATACCTCCATTATATCTATTATTCATGCATCTCCTGCGCGTATGTTTATCTGAGAATCAATATATAGTTCATGCCAGTGTCAATCGAATGTCAATGATGGGGCTGAAGGAGTGGAACTAGGCAAAATCCCAGTTGCCGATATGATGACGTATCAAACATTTTTGAGAAAATTAGCAAATTGATTTAATTCATACGACCTCTCAGTGGCATGGATTTTGCATCTTTGCGCCAATAAGCTGCTCCTCTTCGTTTAGGAACTACGAGCATAATAAGCTTTTCTCTTTTTGAACAGGGATGGAGTTTGGATTGAAATCTATCTCTCTGTGAATGAGCACTGTTATAATATCGTTCAATCAGAGGTTCGTGGAGCTCACACATTGCGAGTGTATTACTTGCACTGCACATGCAATGGCGTGGTTTCAATTTACGATCAGCAACTCAACTGATTGTCTTATCCACTGGAGATGAGAATGGCATATAAATCCGTTGTCCCTAAAACATAGATTTCGAGGCATCACATTGAAGTTGAGCTATCGAAATGTCGCATTTTCTTCCTTAACCCTTCTGTGTTTACTTCAGATAAGCATTAACATTTCTGAGATTATCTACACTAAATTCAACGTGAGCTCATATTTTTCTCTGAACCACTTGAGAGATGATCAGTTGTAGTTGAAAGATATGATCCACCGTTTCTGCAGCAATAGCTATGTCAATCCAACATACACTCTACAATATAAAGTGTTCCTCATTTCCCTTCCTCTTTTCCACAATGGTCCGAACGATGACGAAGGGGGTTTCCGCCACCTGAATCGATTCCTGAATGAGACCAATCTAGAGATTCTGAAAATAATTGAGGAGATCGTTTCGGACGGTTATTTACCTATAGGTTTCACAGTGGAGGTTTTCAACGTCGAAGCTCCGCAACCCGGTGGAGTGATTTCCATTCGAATTTTCGACCCAAAGCTATGCCACATAAGTAACAGATTATCTTGGGTTTGGAGATGATCAGCCCGAGAGCCTCGTTGTTTCTACTGGAGTCTAAAGTTGGTGCACAAGCCGCCACGTTGTGAGGTCATTTAGGATAACGGCAGACGTATCGAGCCACGGTCAAGCTACCAGGTCTTATACAAGTTGAGAGCTTGGGACGGTTAATTGCGTGCCAAATAAGCATCTCTGGTTACTACAGGCAGCACCCTTGGCTATGGGATGGCTACCTGGATGAGAGAATTGATTCTAATCTTTGGTACCCTCAGTGTCTTGGAAAAATGCGTCTATACATCTTGATATTGAGTATTTGGCAAATTGGGCATGACTACATATGGAGATTTATTTTCCTATTAGTATCGTATTCGTCATTTTTTCCCCATCTCTCTTTTGATTTCACAATCTTGGAACCCCTTTATCCAGCTGTTTACGTTTCTCTGTTCGTTCAGAAGTAAGTCAGAGTCACTCTCACATTCACTGTTTCTTGCTTTGCATAAGAAATTTCACCCTCTTTTCTTTTCTGCATACTTGCTCATTTATTTTGCACATATATATTTTACAATCGCATCAAATGGAAATTGAGATGTTTATTATCCCTGACTTGTCAATTGACTTGCAATTACCTTTGTTTTCTTATCAATAACAGCTGCAAAGATTGGTTTGAATTTTCCAATGAAGCGGGCATTGACTGCCAATGCTGCAAAGCAACTTCTCTTGATAAGAGCCTAGTATTGGGGACTCCATGCCATGTCACCAAGTATCTATGTAGACTATGTAGACACGCATGCATTTTTCTGTGAAAGAGAAGAAGGCTTATTAGTTACTGGATCCTAACTTTGAAGAGTGATGAGGAGTTTAGAGACATTCCAGCACAGCTCAGATTATCTTTTCAAAGTTTACATTCGTTGACTCTGTCCGCCATCCTTGCAATGGGTAACTAACTGTAATTGAGTAGAAATTAGCTATTCCCAATCGTCACGATTTTACTTCTTTCCACAAATGAAACTAGTGGTTGTATTTTATATAACTAGCTTTTGAGCCAAGACCATCCATTTTCCCACTAGGGCTATTTCTACCGATAATACGGAAGTATGATATAGTTACATGAAAAGTTAGCTGATTGATAACTACACTATGTCAATTTTTCAATCCATCCGTCTAATCCTTTATTTTGATGTTGTGCCTGTTCCGTGCATCGGGTCCAGCCCCACTTTGTTTAACGTTAATTAACCGTCTGGTAAGTTACGGGATGTCCCGCAGCCATGTGGAGAGGGTAATTAGCACTAGCGCTACCCAAAAGACTGAATTTCCTCCGATATGGAGACCAACCTCGTT